CCTTAAATTAATTTGTACTTTAAGTATAAAATAGTATTTGTTACATAAGGTTATTTACATCTAAATAAGGTTATTTGTTTAAAAAAATATGAATTACAAATGTTTTAAAATTGTTTCTGCAAGTGACGCACAATTGCCCATCACCTTATGACGCTGCTATATCACGAAAACGAATTAAATTCACAGTTTTAAAAAGTTACATTCACAGTTATAACAGTGATTTTAAAATCACCTTTTAGCTCATCTCTACCAGAAACCATAATCGTTCAGATGAGCGAAAAATTGTTTAGTTGCAGCGATGATATAATTCAGCATTTTTAGTCTATAAATATTCAGATTTCTAACGTTCTGTAATAAATCTTAAAAAAAAGGGATTTCTCTCAATAAACTTAGCAACTTACCGTATATTTTATTTAATCACTTCAGTTTATTATCAGTTTTTTTCGTTCTTTAAGTAGTTACTTCTGATCCATGTTTTGTTTTTGATTTTAGAATATTTTATTTTAAGTTTACCAATGTTAAGAATTATTTTTTTAATAAACTGTATATATCACTATTTCTACTATCATTTCGCATTTAATGAAAAATTTTAAAAGTAACATGTTCCTTTTGGACCCGCATGTTGAAACCTATTACCAAAGTGAAACTGAAACGTTATAACATGTTACAGAAAAATAACCGTTTATGACACCTCTATTAAACATAATAATTCCCATGATCATTTAAGCAGAACGAATTAAAATTAATGTGGGTCCATTAAATAACAGTAATGAGTTTATGAAATACTATTCAAAACAATAAAAACAACTCGTGACCAGTAATCAATGCACTTGGAATTTGCGTTGGAAGCGTTTTATTCGCGATCTCTCGGGACTAGATATAATCAACCGCTTTGTGCCGCCCCGAAAATGTTAATCCCGCAGGAATATTCGCAGTTTTGGTTGCTTCATCAGCTCGATAATTCCGGACATTACCATATTTAATAATTAGGTTAACAGACGTATTTTAAGCGTTATTGGGAAGAGCAGTCGTAGGAAAATTGCTAAAGCTGTTAATTTTTGTTAGGCCAATTCTGCCACAGGTAGTTCTTCTTCTTTAGGTGCCGTCTTCGTTCCGAAGTTTCGCCATCATCAAAGCTATGCGAATTTTTGAAACTGCATATCCAAACAGTTGGCAGTTATTGTGATTATGCTCATTCTCTTAAGTTCTTCAACCATGAATCCCTTCTTCTTCCTATGGACCTTTTGCCCATTATTTTGGATAATAAGTTGTAGTAACTGGTATTTATCTCCCCTCATAACATGTCCCAAGTATTACAGTTTGCGTTTCTTAATAGCAAGTATCAATTACATATTTCTCTTTCTGTATTCTTCGCAAAACCTCCACATTTATCACTCTCTCTGTCCACGATATTCTCAGTATTCTACGGTACTTCCACATTTCAAATGCTTCTATCCTCTTGGTATCGATCTTTTTCAATTTCCACTGTTCCATTCGATAGAAAAGATCCGGTGGCACGTAACATCTCACAAGGCGAATTTTAACGTCCGCAGAACACCTTTTTTATTTTAGTAAATGTGTCTCTAGCTTTTTCCACTCTGATCCTGATTTCTTCAGAACAATCGTTATTTTCGTTGATAACAGTTCCCAAGTAATTATTTTCACACTTTACTCCCACATTCAATTTTTTGACTATGTACGGTTATGTCAGGGAAGTTTTGTGGTGATTTAGATACCACCATTATTTTTGTTTTATTGATGTTAAGTGATAATCCGTATTCTTCACTGCATTCTACTATTCTGTTAATTAGTATCTGAATATCTTCTGGAGTTTCTGCAATTACAACCGTGTCATCGGCATATCTTAAGTTGTTTATTGGAATCCATCTATTTTAATATCTATATCTTGCTCTGAAAGTGCTCTGTTTATGATGTCTTCTGAGTATAGGTTGAATAAGATTGGTGAGAGTATACATTCCTGTCTTTCGCCGCCTTTTTTAGTCTAGATTTTCTCCGTTGTCGCTTGCTCTATTCTAATATTCGCATTTTGGTTATAGTAAATTGAATTTGAATGGAGTATTACCAATATCCACATCTAGTTTTCTGCGAATTCTTGTGTGAATCACTTTGAGGAATACTTTTAATGTGCGTCCTATCAGGCTTATTGTGCGATGATCAGCGCACTGTTTTGCGTTTGCCTTTTTTGGTATGGTGACAAAAGTTGAGGAGCCATTCCTTTGGTATTTCTTCTGTTTGATATATGCAACTAAAAAGGTCGACTAGAGTATTCACCGAATCACCTTCCACAAGCTTGAGAAGTTCCGATGTAAGCCAGTCTGGACCCGGTGATTTCCCATTCTTCATTGTTTCAATAGCGCATAGTATTTCTTCTTTAGTTATATCTGGTCTTTCGTCGCCTTGTAATGTATGTAAAATGTCGCCTATCTGTATTATGTTCTTGTCTTGTCAGGTAGTTTCTAACAGATAGTTAGATATGGGAAAGTTCACAGATGAAAACTTTTCAAAATGCAATAACAGTGTCCAATGACTTTCAAATTAATGTTAATATGTATAAGTTACTTTTTCCACTAATCTCAATCCATTTCATATGAAATTAATGCAATCAAATGATGATGTGATTAACTATTTTTGAAAACAAGAATGGTAAACAATAAATTTCCGATTTTAGCCAGACAAATCAATTAAACAAATGTTGACGTTTTTTTTTTTCGATTTTTTCTCGTTTTGATGGGAAGCAAAATTGGTAAAAACGTGAGGAATTATTGGATGGAGATGGGAGTCAAAGAGATGGGTAATAGGAATAAAATACGGAGATTTGATATGAAATAGAACAGATTGAAGATGGATGAAAGGGTTACCTGGAGTAATCAAGTCAAAGTGCTCACCTCAACATACGGAAAAACAATAGCAAAAACAAAGTTACCATTTCTTTCAATTGAAATCCGCACAATTAAAAAACGAAAATGAGTAAAAGCTAGGAATACATATTGCCATGTGTGTAATTTGATTTTTGACTTGCAGATGTTCCAAGGCAAATGTGGGTATAAAACAAAAAATTACACAACTTAACTATTCCTTCTGCCAAAGTATTTACTTTAATGTTGAATTTCACCTGCGTTAATTAAACACTTCCGTTTGGTGTGTAGATTGTATATGTTAAAAGTAAATATTTAACGTTTAATGGTTCAGTAGTAATCATCATCTCATCAATAATAATTAGATGTGCATTTGCATCCGCCCACTGCTTTCCGAATAAATGACCTTTCACATCAGCGGATTGCCATTTATAAGAACTACCGTATTTAAGTAACTTCGTACAGTGGCGGCTACTAAATGAACGATACAAATTTAATGCCGATTTCAAAAATCATTCCTAGAATCAATTTTTAAACGGGAATTATAAATATAAACTTTTCGGATAAGTGTTTGCGTCGCTACTTCCGAAAATTGAGCAGCCTTCATCCATGCCAATTTTCGAATCGTTTGACAAGTAAAATCCGACCATAACTTATACGCAACATCAAAAATAAAATACAGGTTGTAACTTATTGGGTTATTTTCGAATTATTAGTTCGTAAAACGTGATATATTACACTTAAAAATAACCAATATACTATGTTTTCATTTAAATCGATAAAATCTGCGCTGTACTAACTAAGAGAAGAATGCAAGTTATTGCAAAAAGTGCAGTTTTAATTTACTGAAATTGTGCTCAATGATAACTGAACATGAATAAAAGATAAAGTGAGCAAATAAATGAAATAAACATGACGAGATGTTTCTAGGGCGTAAAACGTCAGTATGGAGACTTATCTTTAATCTTTAGAACACTTTTTTGAAAACCCCAATAAGGTCACTGCATTTTTACTAATTCTTTAATAATAGCAAAATTAAACGTGAAAAGAAGCAAATCGTTCTATAATGATCGAGAAGGGTTCTCACAGAAACAGTTTTGTGCTATATAGTGCATATATTTGAGATAATTTAGTTCAGAATTGAAACTACTTTTGCTTGGTCGATTTATAATGCCTTACACAACTTTTATTATAGAACAAATAACTCTTGCTTGATTAAGAATTTTATCAAAGCCTTATAGAATTTTAACAAAAGTATTTTGTAAGTTATAATTAAGTTGTGAACGAGTTATATAACTAATATTTTAATTTATTCCAAATCAAAATTAATTCCTGGGTTTCAGTCATTTATTGTTTCTATTTATCAATTAAAATACGTTTCGGTGTATTTTTCCACCATCATCAGTTTTTATGTATAGCGTTGTTGCCACTTTAAGCCTTGGCATACATTTCTATGCCACAATGTATGCCAAGGCTTAAAGTAGCAACAACTTAAGTGATAAATAGAGACAATAAATGACTGAAGCCCAGGAATTAATTTTGATTTGGAATTGAAACACAGTCAG